CTGCTGTGTCAGCCCCACCCTCTGGGGCACAGCTGAGCTGGCCACTGAGACTGGGCGTGGTGGCGCACGCCTGTAATCCCAGCTCTTGGGAGGCTGTAAACAGGTGGATCACTATGAGTCTGATCTAGTAGTGAGATCCTGTACACCCTGTAGACCCTTCCCAAAAATATAAAATAAATAAGTAAATGAAATGTTTAATTCTTTTGAGACAGGTTCTCACCATATAGCTGAGGCTGGGTTTGAACTCACTGTGTAGCCCAGGCTGGTCTCAAACTCTCAGCGATCCTCCTGCCTCAGCCTCCCAAGGGCTGAGGTTCCAGGTATGTGCTGTCATGCTTGGCTGAAATGTTTAGTTTAAACACATATGGCTCCAACGACAGCATCAACAGGACGCACAAGCAATGTGCAAATGGAGAGGAAACATCTACAAGTTGCATCTTTGTGAGGAGCTAAAGTGCAGAATGTGCAAAGAACTAAAGTCAACCCCAGAAAAGATGACATTTGAATAAAACGTGGGCCGGGCCTAGGGATGTGGCTGAGCTGCAGAGCATGTGGCAAGCGTGTGCAAAGTCTTGGCTTCGCTCTTTACACACACGTGTGCATTGTATGTGCACATCTTGAATAGGCGTTTCCCCAAAACGTAGCAAGACACCGGCTCAAAAAATAGATGGACAGCACATAAAATTGATTCCTTTTTTGTTTTCTTGTGCTGGGGATCAAACTCAAGGCCCTGTGCAGTGTGGGAATCCTCCTCTGAATCCTCCTCCTCCTCCTCCTCCTCTTCTTCTTTTTGGCAGAACTGGGGATTGAACTCAGGCCCTTAGCTGGCCAGGCAAGCGCTTATTCTACTGAGATAGCTCCCAGGCCCCTGCGCGGGGGAATTATTAAAAAAAAAATTGTTATTTTTGTTTTGGAGTATTAGAAGTAGTAAGGTCTTATTGGTGCATTTCAGGTGCATGCAGTGACAGGGCTCACCACGGGGAATCCGCACTTGGACGCTGGAGCTCGGCTTCTGCTTTCCCTTCTCTTTCTCTCCTTTCAATCTACCATTCAGTCCTTATTTACAAAAGCTTTGTTTCCATTTTTCCTTCTCTTCTCTTTTATTTTTCTGGCCTTTCTTCCCCTCTCCCCTCCTTTCTAGTTCCTGTTCTCACTTGAGCATTTTCTGCCCATTTCCCAATGCCTGTCATGCGCTGTGGTCTTTACTTGCACTTCTGGTTTCTCACACCAGAGAAACAGCACAGCGTTTGCACGGTGTCTGATTTACTTCACTAAGAACTCAGATTCATGGTGCATCAATATATATA